TCGACTTTGGAGAGCAAAACCTGTTCGAAGAGCGGCTAAGATATTTATATATATATATATGTGAATGCCCTATATTTGCATATGCCCGATGCCTACAGTAACAAGATGCAACGAGCATGCAGCTATCAAGCAACATATGGCCTCTTTGACAAATGCTAGGACGGGCTGCTGCGCACGCGGGGTGAATACGCCATAGCCCAGAGACTGTTGGACGAGGCTGCTAGTTCGGAGTTGGATTGGTGGTTGCGCCACCCATGGTCGGGAGGAGTGGTAGTGTTGTTGGGTTTCCACGATCTGCAGTTTTAAGCAATTATCACTGTTTTAGAGAAAGGCCTTTACTGACCATAATCATCATTGAATCATGCGCTGTTACCCAACTTTGATGTCTAAAGATGTCTAAAGTATGTGTTGGATGGTCTTGTCTTGACAGTTGCCCATTTGACAAGAAACGCGTGGATGCCTCGACAATTTCAGACTGATCGCTTTGTGTTGCAAAAGGGAACCCCTGCAACTTCGCAGAACCAAATCTTTCAGATAATTTGATCAAACTTTTCAGCTCTCCAAGAACCCTACCTACCCTACCCTTTTTCTGGCATACCCACCCAAGATCCTGTCTTGTGGCAATACTTGTATATCACTTAATACTTAATATTTATATATACATGTAACAATAGTACTAATAATAATAGTAATAATACTAATGTATTATATACAAATACCAATCCTTTAAGCGAGGTGGACAGCTAGAGGTAAACAAGATGCCTCCCAGCTTGAGTAACAGTGGTCCCAGACGTGCAGCACGTTGGATTCTTTGTGAATCTTTGGATTCATAATGGTTTCAGAGTAGATGACACAATCCCCAAGCTTGGTGGTTTATATGGACACCCAATATACAGGACCTGTTTGGGTTTGTGCCATCCACTCTGAATACCACTGTTTTTGAATGGTGCCTGGTGCCTGGTGCATCCACCCTGCAGGAGTTCGATCTGGGCTCCGTCTTCCGCAGCGCCGCCCGAGGAGCGGCGAACCAACCGGTTCGGACCATCTATAGTTCTTGGGAGAGACATTGCAGTGAACTACTGTAGGGCCGGCAATTTGATCTGGCATATGATTTAGGCCACAGATCTGTAAACCTAAGTTCTCCTGCAGCATGCTCAATTCAAATTCATTCAATGCTTATCTAGACGAAAGTAGATTACATAGTAAGTCAGGGCCACAATACGGAGCCTGGCTACCTGACTGCCAGGCCCAAGAAAACCTTTGGGGCTTTGGCGCGTCGAGCGCGTCTCGTTCGGGAGGTGAGGGCGATGGCTCGATCTCGCCGCGGAGCACCCGTAGCATGCCGGTGCGGCGGAGGCCTCGTCTCGAGGGCCGAAGGAAGCGATTTCTCTGGATTGGCTGATTGAAAAGGAACATTTGGAGTTGGTTAAATTCTGATTAGTTTCATACTGTTTGTAGGCTCTTGATGTATTATATTCATCAAACACACTCCAAAACAAAACAGCTCTTAACGAAGAGGTCTTGCAATCCATTTTTTGGGGGGGTGGTGTTCCACCAAGAGTCTATACATATGTGATACGTCGGACGACTTGATGTCAAAGTTTTTTGTGATTGTTGGCCGCCTCGGTGGACGCCTTGTCGTCGCGTCGGAGGCGGTTTCGGAGGCGGTGAACGATGGACGCCGATGTGGACGAACGGGTGATGAACGGCGCCAACATTCGATCGAATCTACGAACGGTCAGACCTCTTGGATGGTCTGGGGTGGAGAAACCCATAAGTCTTGAAGGTTTTGCGGTTTTCATTGAACATCCATTGGTCTATGCACTGATATATGCCAACACAAAAATGACTATAAAGGGTACTGCAGTTCGCTGAGATGAGAAGCCAAAAACACCTGGTCCCCTCGCGAACTTCCGTCCCATCCACTTTGGGAGTAGCATCATATCAACTGGAGTTTCGATGGAAGACGAGTTTGCTGGTGCCTCAAGATTACTTTCCCAGAGCCCCAGAAGATATTCTACTGAAACCATGATTCATCAGTTTGGTGGTCATCCTTGGAAATTCATATTCCCCACAGCCCCCAGGCCCTGCACCGCCAGGGGCTCAAATAGGATCCACCAGCACACCTTCACAGCCCAACGATGGCCAGGCAGCGGCTGCTTTTGATGGATGACCCTGGCCCGCCTGGGGGGAGAGGGCGACATGGCACAGAGAGGGCGACCGTATGGGTGCTTCACTCAAAGTCACTGTCCAGATGGCGATCGCCAACTATAAGTGTATTTATACGTATATACACACACTGTATATAGGTTTCTCTTACACCTTAGAATCCCTAGAAGTGACTCCTTTACATACCCCACCCTCTAATAGCATCCTGCACAAATCACGCCATCATCCACCCTTACACGGCAAGCAGGGTCAGCAGATTGGATGCGAAACCTTTTTACTACATACTTTCAAAACTTGTTCCTGAATGGGAGAATCATTGATTGTGGTGATTATTATGGTGGAACCCATGTAACCCGGAACTCTGACAATTGGAGGAAGAGAGTGCACGCACAATAAACGACGAACACCAAACGGATGTTCAAGACTGCGTCGACGTGGGTTCCCCACGTGGAACCCTGCGTCCCACATCGGTGCGTGTCGTTTCGGGGAGTCCTGGTGATTCGGATGTGCTTGGAGAAGGTGATTTCGGCAGACATGGACCTTCGCGACGCATGGTATCGAGAAGACTCGTGGCGCAGAACAACCAAACGAAGACTTCGTGGACAAAGAAGGGTCCCGGACAACCTTTGTGAGGGAGCACTTCAGAGTGCTTTGGAGCCTTTTGCTTGTTGAGAGTGACAACTCCACATGGGGAGTCCTAAGACCATATTGTTAATATATCTTATATACACACATGACATATTATATAATATATATATATATATATCATATATGTGTGTGTAAATATGACTTTGCGCGTTTTTGCTTGCTTTGTTTATGTAGAGCTGGGATGGGATGTTGTAAAATGAAATGCTCTCCATATGGGAGATCATCTCAGCATTGTTTGAATGTGACGCATTCAGGACACAGGGCAGTTCTGGCAATTGTAGATGTTGCTCTCCCCAAAGCTCATTGCAAGCCAACATCTCAACCAACTACCACCAACTTGGGAAGTTATTTGCAGTTCATCTCCAAGAAGAAGCAGCCAAAACAAACCATGACCTGCCGCCAGGCAGTGTGGACTTTCAGGGCTTTAGCATCATCTACCAGCGCGTGTGGGAGCGCTTGGCTGCCCTCAAGGGTGAGCGCGTCACCCAGGCGTCACGCTTTCGGACCCGCGTGAGCTCGCCGGGGACAAGAGTGTCGTAGGTTTGGTCCCCACAGTGGTCCCCAAATAGAGAGGATGGCACGGTGTCCAAGACCTTTTTTAGTGGGGATTTACTGTTCTATTTATTTGTGTGTGAACATGCATATAAATGCAATCAGAATCAGGTTCTTATAAGCCATGGGCCTCCGGTAAGCTGAAGCCACTCCAAATGGAACAGATGAGGAGAGAAGGATTCTAGACCGGCAGTGACAAATCCAGAGGGGAACTGATGTGGATGAGACTCCCTGACTTGGTTGTTCCATTTTACATGGAAGTACCACATGTGACAGGCTGCCACAGGAGACGTTTTCCCTGGGTACTTGTTCGTTGCACCGGCTCCCGATCATTCTTCCACACTCTCCGTCCGATGCTCAGTCGCTGTCGAAGCAGGCGGCCGAGGCCTTGAACTTCTCACTGATCGAACTGTCCGACATCCAGGTTGGGAGATTCAGGCAGTCTACTAGGATTTTTGAGGTAAACACATGAGATGTCATGAGATGTCAGTGGTGACCCCCTTTCTTGCCTTCCAACCCAACCGCTTGGTTTGGGCGAGCCGATCATACTGACAGGTCCTGACTAGGACTGAGCAACGTGCAAACCATCCTGCGGCGCTATGGACATTTGTTTGGGTAGAACATGAGATTCCCATCAAGGAGTCGAGCAACGAACCTCTTGGACGATGGAAGACGATGTTTCCTATCAAACTTCTCGACGAACCAGGGTGATGATGTTGGTTCAGAAATGTTCAGAACACTGCAACATTGCCATCCTGTCAACACCTCACAGACGGGTGGCAGATGGACAAAACCTCCAAACACAATCCAAGAACCTCACCTGAGGAGTTGCGCCCAACATCGAAAATACCAAAAGACCAAGACAAAGCAACACAATTCACATGCATCACCTCGGGCTCCCACCGGCCACACCGCGCGCACCCGCCGAGGGCGACCCTTTGTTGAGACAACTCCAGACCGGGGAGTCCCAAGACCGAATGTAGACTCTAATGTAGACTCTTGATTCTATGTCACCCCCCAAGGCTTGAAGAGGCTTTTCAATCCATGCTTCGGAGGCTTATGAATGAAGATTCTAAGAATTAAACTACTTGATTGATGTTGAGATACCAGTTTTTGAGTGCCCCCTTTGCCAAAGGATATCAATAGGATGCCCTGGTGACTCTCCGAACAGGGGGCAGCATTCAATCGAATGTTTGGCTACATGTCATGGCACTTCATAGCCTTGTAGGTCACATACACAAGGCGATTGGTTTACATTCTGACTCATGGTCCAAAGTGGATGGCATCGCTTGGAAGCCTTCTTTTCCTTAGACAGGGTGTGAACTCCACTTCCACTCTGCTTCTTGGCTCGGTCGGTCACCGAGTCCGCCCCCCGGGTCAGGCGGCCTTCGACCACTATGACCGGGACTCGGATGGCATGCTGACGAGCACCCAGCTCGTGGAGGCGACCGGGTCCGGCGAGACCGGTGGTGTGAAGCACGGCTGACCAAGCGGGACGAGACGGCAAAGCAGCAGAAGCAGATGATAGGCTTTGACAGAAGCAGAGATCATGAAGTCATGACCGAAGCAATGAGGAGCACCCATGTTGATAGTATTTTGTCCGTTTCATCTAAGAGACATCGTAGTATCCTTGGGCTTCTGAGTTATATAATTGAATCACAACCGCCCAAAACACACCAGCAAGATCCAGCAAGGCTTGGGACACCACGCTTTGGTGCTTCCACGGGACATGGTCTTCCACGGAGAAAGAACATCGGTAGCTTTCGTTTCGTCGCTCCCAAGGGGCCCCGGATTGATCTCCAGGCCTTAAGGCCACTGCTCCCGCGGCTACCAGAGGAGCAGCAATTGAGGAAACTGATGCCACTCGATATCTGAGGGGGATGTGAAACACTCAAAGTCAATTTGATTTCCGGATGGGGTGTGGCAGCCTCAGTTGCAAGAAGCCCCAGTTCATGCACACGTGTAGGTTCATCGCTTTTCCCTGCAGGAGGGCACAGATTACAAGACAGGATGGTTCCTTTGACTTCGGGTCACATGAGGAGAAACTATATTATATATATATGGTTTCCTTTCTGGGGGTGTCCTTCATGACAGCTCTTCTCAATGGATCATTGAGGGATTGAGGATCATCCTCCACTTGGCTGGCTCCCGCTGCGCGGCACGTGGCGCCCAGGTGTGCTGGGCGGACCCCAGGGCCCCATCGTTTGGGAAGGACTCATGTGCCCTGCACTGGTTTCGGCTCCAAGACACCCCAAGACTCTGTTGTAACACATTCAGGAGTCAGTTGGACCAAATTTTTGGGTATGGTCAAACAGACCAACAGGGTAGATGGAAGGCGGTTGGCATTGCAGGTGTCAAGCAAAATCAATCGGGTGGTTCTTCATGTAGTCTATCCATTTGGAGCTAAGGAGCTACGAATAGATTCTTAGAGGCACCACCCCTCAAAGGGGGCTTGGCATGTTTTGTATCTAACATGATTCATGTTCACTCGATCCTATTCTGCAGAGTGATGCCTTGAACCCAGGGCGCGTGCCGTACCGGCGCTTTGTGCTGAGGCCGGCGCTGGAGGAGACCGATGAGGACGAGGAAAGCTTCGTGGTCATCGACACCTGTCATCACAGCGTTTGGGTGGAGCTTTTGACATAGAAATAGCTACTTGCTCCTAGTAGTAATGCGCTTGTTCCTAGTAGCTAGTTGTTACTAGTAGTAATGTCAGGAGCTACTAGTAGCGTCCTTGCTCCGTCCGTAGCGATGCCCTTTGTTACTAGGGCCTCCTACATGTCTTTTCAAGTGAACATGTCCCCTGCCTCCATGACTTGGATGATTTTTGCTGTGCCATTGTATGTGTAGCTCAGGTATTGACAATGGTTGACATGTTGTTTTGGTATATAGCGATATACATCTATATATATATATATGATACATAAATATATAGTTATAGAGAGAGATACATGGACAGATTGATAGATAGACAGATAATGATAATGATACAGTAGATTGACACATTATATGAAACATATTATGACTTGAAGCCGAGATTCCTGGGATACTAGTCACAGCAAGAGGGCTTTGGCACCACTTGCCACACGATGGTGCAAGATCTTCCCCCGAAAAATGCCCCTCCTGGAGGTGGTGTCCCAAGCCTACCTAGGCCTCAGGCACCCTCAGGCATCGGCAGGATGATTGAGCAGCCGTAGGTCAAATCACTCGCATCAAGGCTCGCTTTGCTTTGTTTGATCCCCTGAGCTGAACGGGTTCACCAGACGAACAGCTTGAGACTGAAAGGAGGTCAAATAGGGTTGCTGCCTGGCCTGTAAGGACATATTCGAGTTCATGAAGCTGCTTCGGACATTGACAGCACCTTGGTATTATTGTACAAAACTCACTCCCAGGGCTTTCAAGGAGAGTTTGTGCGGCATCAGAAGATATTCAAACAAAGCTGTGGCGAATGTTGCACTATACCTATTTTGGCTGGGTTCTTTCTTTGCGGGCAATGCAGCCAGCCCCTTGTTCCGAGCCAGGCTTGACTTCATAAACATGCAGAGCGAATGGGTGACAAAGGCTTGACTTTCCCGCTCAGAAGAGCACATGCTGTCCTTGCACAGTTTGTCCTGCCCAGAATCTAACACCAAATCGAGCCCAAATTAAATCAAATTAAGCCCTGAACTAATGAGTTTGCTTTGGGATGCTCACACCAAACCGTTCCTCCGATGCAACTACAAACGCACCTTACCCTCATTCAAACATGTTGTCGCTTGAGAACCTGCAGTGGCCAGGAAGAGCACTACCTTAGCATGAAATCGGGCCGCTGGCCTGATGCCAAAATCGAACCATTCAGTGTATAGCTTCAAATCACGAAAGCTAGCCTTAGCTAGCTGGAGTTGCTCTTGCTTTAGCAAGTTAAGTGACGGGGTGGACGCACCTCAGAAACCTCAAATAATTGATTAAATCAATCTTATGGACCCCCCCCCCCCCCGCGGTTCGACTCCCCCCTGCGCGCGGTGAGCGGGACCACCAAGCAGCAGCAGCAGACCACCCAGCGGCGGCAGCAGCAGCAGCAGCAGCATACCCAACGCCGCGGCAGCAGCAGCCGCAGCAGACCACCCAGCGCCAGCAGCAGCAGCAGCAGACGACCCGGCGCCTGCAGAGCACCCAGCGCAGCAGCGCCCAGCGCAGCAGCGGCAGCAGCAGCACCAGCAGCAGCAGCACCAGCAGCAGACCACCGGAAGCCCGGCTAGCTTTCGTTCACCCCCTCTGGCCTCAAGTCATTCTCAACGAAAAGCAAGCAGGCTCAGCTGAAGCCATATGCTCAGCTCCTGACGTCAGCTCCTGATCCCATCAGCTGGAATCAGCTGCGCTGTTTGCTGCCTCCATGAGGCTGGATCGAGCCTGGTGCACTTGAACAAGCCGTTCTCCCTGGCAGATGATGTGCCTGGTGATGCAAATGAGATGCGGCAGGCAGCATCACTCACTTTGTTCAGATACACTTAGCTGAGCAGAAAGACTGAAGAAAACATGGCATGGGTTCCATGTGCTTTTTGCTATTGGAGCTCCAGATCCCCAAGGCGAGTCTACAGTGACGGGCCGTCCAGCTGCAGGTTTCTACACCATTCCAGCCACCACGGTGTGATCCGTGTGAAATCCTTTGGTTTTTGTTGCTGGTTTTCATCACTGTCCTCCGGCGTTTGATTCGTCTCGGTTCGCCCCGTTCGCCTTGTTGTGGCGGCTAAACGGCGGCGCGGGACGGGACGTCCACGGTCCGAGGTGCCCTTCGAGAAGCAGCAGGAGCTCATGCAAGTCTGGCCGATCTCAGAGTCTCGGTGGAAGTGACCCTGATCGAGCGGTTCGGTGATCTCGGGGATCGCAGACTGGTGACATTGGGTGACCTCCGTTCTGCAGCGTAGCCTCTGGTGGCTTCCCCAGCGAGGCGCAAGACCCTCCCAACAATCACGAAAGCGGAAACTCCAGAGGTTTGGAGAGGAAAACGCTTTGTAAACGGGCCTAAACGGGCCATTTTTGCCATGTTATGTGGGCGGAAGAGATATACTCCCCGTCGTTTGATGTCGTTTTCGGATGGATGGGGCGCCCCCGTGGTCCAAAAGGACGAAAGGTGACGATTTCGGACGACCATTGGATATAGACCAAACAGGTGGTGCCATCCACGCAACCACTGGTCGCGCGTGTGGTGCAAGTCAAGTGCAAACTGGTAGACTGGCCGCGCGATGTCACTGCGAAAGACCAGACTGCATGAGGAAAGCTACATCCAGAGCCTCGATGCATCGGCCGCCTGGATGCGATGCAGATGTTTGGTGGGGTGTGAGAACATCGGCATGGGGAGCGGCGCACTGAGATTGACAAGATTGACAGAGTTTGGTGGGGATTTGATTTGTAAAGTGAGCAAGTGATCAGTTGTTTTTTCAAAGAGTATAGACGTCGTGCACACCCGTACCCTCGAACATCCGATGATGAAGGTCGCCACGCGATATACGTAGATAACATCCATGACACATCCCAAGATGTTGCAGGGTTTTGTACGGCATTGATTACTCCACAGTTTAGCATAGTTTAGCTGTTTTCCCCCCATGTGACGACATATTTGGACAAGAACGAAGTGCCCCATACACTCGTATTGCAGCTGAATAATGCTGAATATAGTGGCTGCGTGGCTAGAATTCTGAAGAGTGGCAGCCCTTGTAGGGATTGCGTCTCCCAATGGGATTTGCTTCTCGTTGAGTTGGCTGAATTGCCGTGGTCAACGCGGTCTAGCCGAAATAGGATGTCACGTGACCACCGAAGGGTGCGCACTTTATATTGATCATGTGCAGAAGATGAGGTATTTTGATTTTTAGACTTGGCTGCAACACATACAGACAAATGTGGAGAAGGTGCCACCTGTGGCACTACTGTACTTAATGGCCACCAGGCGCTGCCAGGCAGCCTTCCACATGGAGAGCAGGTGTCTCCCATTTGCCCGTTTTGCCCGGAAAGCTTAGGAGCTGGTCGAGATGTTGAGCAACTTCTTAGGGGTCAAACCTGCACCTTGGATGAAGAGCCGATGACCCCGTGCCGATTGAATGGTCGTTCTCCTTCAGCACCGTGCCACACCCATCCCCAATTTGCTGATCACAAGGGTTCATGCCAATTCAATTTGATGGAATTGAGGTGCCTCGGGAGGCCTCGGGCCACTTCTGAATTGCAGTCAGTAGAAAGTATGAGAACCCCCTCAGAGTGCGAGTTTTCATGAGTTTTCGCATCCCATGCAGCGTGCTCCAGCCACTGCAAAACGATAATTATTGAGACAAAGAAGACAACAGTTCAAAGTATTTTTGAAGTGAAAAGTACAGTAGAGGCGGTGGAGGGGCTTTCTTGTCACCCACACCAGAGACTGTCCAAATTCCTTCCAATTCTATTGTTAGGATGCACAAACCCTGTAGTGATCTAGAGTCCCGGAGAGTTAGTCACCAATACCAGTACCGGGGTCCATGTCCGTACCCGGGGCCAACCGTTGGACCAAAACCCCCCCACGCTTCCTTCGCCGCATGCCGCCGAGCGCCTGTTTCAGGACCAGAACTTGCGGGACCTCAGTTACCCCATCAGCAGCTTTCGGAAGTTGCGGGAGCCACTTGGGAAAATTGAACCGGCGATTTTCCCCAGGACTTTTTGTTTGTAGGAGGTTCTTCAGAGAGAAGATAACAAAGCCACCAGCATGGGCTGCCGGGTTAAAACGCCAGCACTGCCCATTTGAGCACATATCGAGAAACCAAGCGCTGCATAAATATGGACAAACCTCAGCAAACGACACAAACCTCACCTGGTCATACATACCCGATCTTTTGGCACAACCCTATAGGCCCTAGAGAGGAGAAAGAAACAAGTAGTTGGATTGGATGCCCTATGAAAATTCTGCAGGTTGATGGACCAAATTGACAGCTGTTGAAGGACATTTGGCAAGTCCACGGGAAGCCTTCGAAGTTTGTCAAAGTCCCCCACATCCTCCACCCACCAAAGAGACATCCAATTTACTCTAAGGGCTTCAGTCAGCTTCACTTCTTCTTTGTCTTCACTTGTTGATCCATTTTCATCCACCAAGTCTACATGATTTATATAACCCACATATACCCAACCGGGAAAGAGGCCTACTTGATGGAAACTGCCTCATTGTTACACACCGGCTGCAGTGAACTGTGGGGCGAACAAGACGATTATCTACACTGCCATGTTTGGCGGAAACCTTCGATATTATTAGTGCATCGCTCTCTTGTTCACAGGTGTTTTGTCACCCCCCGGGGCCCTTCAACTGCGTATTGTTCGAAAGAGCCCAGCTGGCCAAGCAGCCGCATGCCATGCACCCTGAGGTTTGCCGTGCGTCAGGCTGAGCGAGCTCAAAACCACACACGCTTTTAAGCTCGGCAGCGGCAAGTTTGGTTATGTGATGTTTGTTTTGTGATGGGACGCAGTCTGGGACTGTGACGTGTCGGCTGAGATATGAGAATTATGCACACTGGGATGGCAAAAAGAGGCTGTTGAAACAAACTAACATAGCAACCGGTTTGAGAAGGGAAAATCTATGAAAGTGCTCCAGGATTTCCATCACAAGAAAGGTGTTGGTTTCATGCCAAAAACATAATGGAATCGTCCTGGAAGGACACGGAGCTCTTGACTTTGGCACCCTACCTGAATGAGGCAGTTTGGGGGAACAACCAGAAGTTACGTGTTGACATGTTTTGGCATATTGGGAATTTTAACCATATCATTTACAGCCAGTAGGAACACAGCCCCGTGCCGCTCGTGGGGGAAACGTGGTGCTTTTCTTGAGGATCAAGAGCGTCGGCCGCTGCCAGAGAACGACGGCCGCTAGTACCGCTTCCAAGAAGCGAAGATGAAGAGGAAACTCTTAGTTTGAATGGGTTAGCTGTCCAGGACGGCCAGTAACTTGGCTAGCTGATGAGTGTTGTTGTATTGATCGCAAAGTCCTGTTGGAGATTGCTGATTGATCGCATGCAGCTATGAATTCACAAGCTTAGATAAGTTTTTGTTGACATTTGTTTACGAGCTCTGTAACATTGTTGGAGGTTCTCTAGCTGGGACATTGGGATCCACCTGCTGTATCAATTCCCTTATCAATTGTCAATGACACAAACATCCTGACAATACTGCAGAGTCAGAGTCATGGCGCCCAACGTGCTGATAGGTGTTCATGACCTGATATAAACACAATTGCAAGGTGCGGTGTTGTGTGGATCATATTACGATTGTTCTGAGAGTTCGATTGAGTCTCTGTGTGCGTTTCTCCTTCTACGCGTTGATCGTCTACTGCAAGTAGTAGTCCAGCTGTCCGCTCCATTCGTCAATCCGCTAGTGACGAGTATTTTTGCCCCTCCGACCGGGCGCCTCATGGCCGAAGTTGTTTGTGTTGTTTGCGCGCTGAAGAGGATTGATGGGCGTTGTGGCGCCAATAAAGCCGGTAGACCCGGTAGAGGTTGTCTCAAGCAGAATGGATGTGGGTTGGGTTGGGCAGGACCAGTCAGTAAAATTCAGTAAACAGTTAGAGAAATGCCTGCAACATCCTGCAACCAAACCATCATCCACTGCTACAGGGAATGGGGTATGGGGTTTACCCAAAGGGTTAGGTTGAGACCCGCAGCCATGGGCGAATGGCCGGAGCCGTTGTTTTGTTCGAAGGCGGTGGGAAGAGCCCAGCCTTTAGACAGACGCGACCGTCACCCGAGGAGATTCCTAGGGCCTAGAATGTTCAAGCAGCTCTGAGGCCGATGATGGAAGTGATTCCCAAAGACGGAACTAACATGGTTACGTGGATGGCACTTTTCCGCTTGGAAGACCATGTTCTCTCTACAAAGCCGCGGGTGAACTCCACTTCCATGTTAGTTCCAGGTGAGACTCATGCAGCTTCCACGCTCCAGAGATGCGGTCAGAACCACGGCTTTGCCACGGTTTTAAAACAAGTGCAGCGGCAAAATCTGACGAAGTGGGGCAGGAGATGTTTCTTCGTTTCTTGTTCTGAAAACTTGGATGCAATCAGAAGCAGAAGGATCCTCTACCATGTTTGGGGTGGCTGGAGGTTCAACTGAGGTGACATATAGTCAATCTTGATGTGTGCAGATAGTTTAGGGTAATGAAATTGATGAATAACCGTGAATAACCCACAACCTGTTGGAGCACGGCATGATGCGCGACAAAATTCATTATGCACTATGTGCATGTTGGACGGCTTGGACAGTGGATCAGCCTGAGTAAAAATTTGTTCACTGGCACTGTACAACTTGCATGGTTTGTTGGAGCTAGCTACATGCAAGGAGAAGAGCCATGCTTCAGGACATATACCACCAGGATTGCCAGCTCCGTATCATTCGAATCAATCGGATTGACCAGTTGAGGTTTTCAAGGCCAGGCAGGGGTATCTCCGACGCAGTGGTGCTTCGACAGCCCACATTCCGAGTTCAAATCCCCGTGTTTGGGAGCAAAACTCAAGCAGTGAAATTGGTTGTTTGCCCTCAAAACAGACCGGTGAAGGATTACAAGGCCCATTTGATCTCCTTTTGATAGAAGAAGGCATGTAACGGCCATAAATAGTTTGATCCTATCCAAAACTGGGGTCACTCAGGTTCTGGATGATACCAGGTGTTTCTTTTGTCTCTACACGGTCTCTCTACGTGGACCCTCACGCGACCCTTGACAACCGGCTCCAGCGGGGGGGCATCTGAAGACCGAGACCCCGGGGGCACTCGGACTCAGTGGTACCGAGTTTGGGAGGGAAGGAGTGGAGGGATGGAAGGAGTGGAGTGGAATGAGGTTTCGCAGTGAGGGATGGAGATTGGTGGTTTGGCCGCCGGCTGACCCTCTTCCAACTTGAGTCACGTGGAAGTCCCCACCTTGCTTGTCAGACAAAGGCGTCAGAGAAAGGCTATGAGGGAAAGAGAGACAGGAGGTCCGTGTTGATCGATTCAAGCAATTCGTACAAGTGCAAGTTGAGCCTCCGTCTCGTTCGATTGTGTCCCTGGTTCTTTGACCGCGTATTTGTGTTTTTTTTGGGGGGATACTGGTGTTGAGCACATCGTCTCTGAGGCTTGCCTTGCGGGTGCACTCTCAAGTTAGTAAAGATGGTTTTCCTGATATATCGTTGAGGTGGGTCCAGGACCTTCTGCCTGAATCAGGGTCTCATCTAGAATCTACTGCTATAATACGACCACATTGTATGAAGCATATGATATATATATATATAGATAGACTTTAGATTTCATTTTTCACTGGATGAGGGGTCCATAGCGTCTCCAGTGGCAGCTCATTTTGTTCAGTCATCCCATGAGAAGTCATCCCGAGAACACCTGCCCGCCTTAGCTATGATTCCTTTGGGCCCCCGACTCTCGGTCGTCACTGAGGCCGGAATGGCCCGGCCCGTGAAGAAGAAGGCACGGCGAAAACCTGTGATACCGGACGGCACTGGGTGGCGCTTGGATCTGAGGGTTGTGATTTATAGTATTGTTTACACTCCCTGAAATCATAATGAAAGTGGCCAAAGAGGTAGCTGCCTGAAGATGAGCAGGTAGTGAGCAATGAGCAAAGGGGATGTCAATGAGTGTAGTCATGGAAGTAAATGTCACCATTTAGTTTGTAGACAAACATGGTCCTCCAAGGGGCCGTGCCATCCACGTTGGCCCATGATCCTATCAAGGAGTGTAAAGTGTATCATAGATATCCCCACCTCTTCAGTGCTTCAGACTTGGCCCACACAAAAAACAGAATTAACATGATTAACTTATTGTTATTAACGGAAACACAAACAAATGCCGGATCCTACATGCTGACGCTGCCTTTCATTCGCACGCGGTGCGCCCGCGCATGCCGCGCGAGGATGCAGAAGACTTCTCCAGTGCCATCCTCACGAAGCTGACAGAGGCGGGTGATGAACGCGTCGATGATGCGTGCATATTCATACTGCGTATAGATTTCGCGCTTACCACACGCCCGGCCCATGGTCAAGGAGTTGTTTGTGGATTGTCGAAAGCCACAGGGTAGCACCAGTGAGGTCTATCAGACATCAGCCACCGTCAGTTGAGGTTGCCTGCTGGTTCAGGTATTCATTTGGATGGCCCTGGAACCCTCCAATTGTTCCTGTTCGATTGACATCTCCCATCATACCCCCGGTAACTCATGTCCCGAACAATCAGCCTCGTGCTTTATATAATATTTATATAAATCTTTATAAAAAGGATGTCTTGAATATGACATGCAAACTCTCGATTTCATGGGAGGGCACCTCTGTTTTGATTCCTTCCTGTCGGTCCCGCCGTTATTCCCCCTTGGAGGAACTCGTGCAGAAGACCGCGACCGAGGAGTTCGCCAATGCCACACGGTCCAGTTCGTTCCAGTTAGACCACGGGCAAAACCCGGCCCGGACAACGTCACAGCGGAGGGCGGACAAGTTGGACCGTGCTTTGTGCTATTTTTTGAACTTCCCATTTATCAGTTTGTTTAATCTTTCCAGATTTGAGTTCCCTTCAACGAGGAAATGGTTTGTTTGCAGATGTCTTCGAAGTCTAGCTGTGTTGTTGTCCAAGAGCTTATCTCTGAGGATGTGACGATCCTCTTCTGTGGCTCTAAGAAGCTTCTTGGCCGTACGGGTACCTCCCACAGGCGGTAGCCGGTCCACCAGCGGTACCAGGTATGCTGGTGTGACCAGACAGAGTGACCTGGTAAGAGTGCGCCATTGGCAGGAGAATCAGGTGGGACAAGTTTCAAGAAGAATGAATTGCACTTTGACATGCCTCAGATCCGTTGTGCTTTCCCCACAAACTTTTAGGGTGCCGATGCTGGGCCGGTGACTATTCCTCTCCTGAAGATCCATAGGAAAGGTTGTGCATTCAAGTTGCAAGTTGAACTTACAGTAACTCAAATTGCTGGCCACGATTTGGGGCATCCCATGCGTCAAAGTTTGGCTATTCCAGCTCCGGTTCGTGAGCAGATATTGCCGCCCAAGTTCTGATCCTAGCAACTGGTACAAGCTTAGCACTGACTTTGTTGGTTCTGGTTAAGGATCCTTAGTCCTTACTGACCATCATCATCATCATCATCATCATCATCATCATCATCATCATCATCA